AGCCCTGAGAACTCCTTTATTAATGTAGTATGTTAAGAAGTATACCTGTTCCTAAAGGAATGAGGATGCAGGTATTTCCCATTTCCACATGCAATTGAAGCATTTATTGATGAAGGTAAAAGACTACAGCCTTAGTATGAATTAAAACGCACCATAAAGAAAACAACTCCCCCCCCCAATATACCAATAAGTACCATCATGATAAATGGGGAAAAGATTGGATTTGTCAAGGATTTCCATTTACTTGGGTCCACAATCAAGTGATGGAAACAGCAGTCTTAGGGTAAATCTGCTGCAAAAGATCTCCTGAAAGTGTTAAAAACAAAACCAAACTAAGGTGTAATCTTGAGGACTAAGGTGTGCCTGACTCAAATAATAATATTTTCAATCACTTCACATGCATAGGAAATTTGGAAAATGAATAAGGATAACCCAAGAAAGACTGATGCTTTTGAATATTGGATACGGGATGACAGAAGAACAAATGAGTCTTCCAGGGAAGAAATACAGCCAAAATGTTCCTCCCTTTCCTTAGAAGTGAGACTGGTAAAACAACTATGACATGTCATCTCACCCCAGTCAGAATAGCAAAATTTAACAGAACAGCAAACATCAAATGCTGGCGAGGTTGTGGAGAAATTGGAACCCTTATTCACTGTTGGTAGAAGTCTAGAATGGTGCAACCATTATGGAAGGCAGTAAGGCGTTTTCTCAAAAAGTTGGAAATAGGAATACCATTTGACCCAGCAACTCCACTACTGAGAATATACCCTAAAGAAAGCAGAACTGCCACCCAAGTAGATATATGCACACCCATGTTTATTGCTGCTTTGTTCACAATAGCAAAGAGTTGGAAACAACCCAAGTGCCCATCAACAAACGAATGGATAGAGAAGCTCTGGTATATTCACACAAGGGAATACTAAGCTGCATTGAAAAACAAGGAACTCATGAAATATTATACAAAATGAGTGACCCTGGAGGACACTATGCTGAGCGAAATATCTCAGTCACAAAGGGACAAATATTGCATTGTGTCACTGTTATAAAACGGGACTGACATCGGGGTTGAGGAAAGACTGAGAAAGAGGGGATAAATACTGTATACTGCATTGAAACAGATGAGAGGGAAAACTGTTTAAAGGGATATATGATTATGTATTATTGTTATGAGAGGAGTCCAGAATGAAGGCTGCTTAGTGGAGTGGACTTGGGAGGAGGGATTGTATAACAATGAAAGAATTTTCTTTTACTTTTCAAAGAGAAGAGCGATTGGGGGGGGGGAGTGGGCAGGGAGAACAGTGTAGCAATGAATGAATGAAAAGATAAGTCTGTAAACTTTCATTAAAATTAATAAAAAAAATTAAGAGAGAATAAAAGAAGTGAGAATGGCGAGACTTGGGAACATTATCAGTTAATGTTCCAGAATTACCAGTTCCTGGTGTTGTAGTCCATAGGGAGCTGTGCTGTGCACCCAAAGGTGGGTGCCTCTCTGGAGGTTTGATTCCATCAGCAGCTCCTTGGGAGAAGGATGGACAATTTCTTCTTGTGTGATTTACAGCTTCCTGAAAATCTGCTGGAGGGCCACTTAATGAGTCAGTTCTGACTCGATGGCAATGACATTTTGAGCGAAGGCCATCATGTTGGAGGGTCAGCAGAAAAGAAGTCCCTTAAGGGAACAGACTCATACCGTGTCTGTACCAATGTACTCAAACGTGGAGAAGATTCTGAGAATGGAGTAGGATGGGGCAGTATTTCTTCCTGTTATGAGTCAGGACCAACCTGATGGCACCTAACAACCCAATCATCTTTTTTGGAAGTGGATCAGCACATCTTTCTCCAGGAGAGCTGTTAGTGAATTTGAACCATTGACTTTTTCAGCGAGCAGTCACCAGGGCTCCCTCGTCTCCGTCAATCTGTGACAGTTCTTTGGTCTTTCATGACCTCGATCGTGGTCAGTTGCTTGTGAAATGTCCCTCAGTTGAGGTTTGCCTGGTGTTTTCTCATGATTTGCCTGAGGGTTTGCATCTTTGACAAGAGCACCACATAAATGATGTGCCCTTTTTAGCACTCCTGAACCAAGTGTCTCATTGCTCAAGATTTTGCCACAATTTAAAATAATTCCAAGTATAAAGAATTGCAGATGTGCTATTTACATTCTATTGCAAACACCAGCACTTTAAAATAATAATAATAATAATAATAATAATAATAATAATAATAATAATAAAAAGATACTACTTCACTCTTTTAAATGTACCCAATGACGAAGGTGCACTGCAATCCCAAAGGCATGTGGTTCGAATCCATCAAACAATGAATTTGAAGTACCTGACAGCAGTGATTATCCTGTGCCATCCTCACAATTTTTGACATATTCGAGACCGTTGCTGCAGTCACAGTGTCAATCCATCTTGTTAGGGGTCTTCTTCTCTGGCTGACCTCCCCAAGAATGACTTCCTAATGTTGTTGCTGTGTACTTTAGAGCTGAAGCCAATCCACAGCTGACCCTCTGGTGGGTTTTCAGAGGCAGTTAATTGCACAGGAAATTGCTCATCCTTCTCCCGCCGGAGCCTTGAACCTCCTGCCTTTGGGATTGCAGAGCAGCTTATGGCCACTAGGCTACCAGAGCTCTATTTCCCAATAATTAACTACTGTGAGCTCCAGCTCCATTTCCCCAGCTGATTCTTGGATGTAATTACTTGGTTTAGCTCTCAAGTGTTGTTGCTAGGTGCCGTCAAGTTGTATACAAGTCATTGCTACCCTAAAAACAGCCAATCTGAAACCTGCCCTTAACCTATGCCATTCTCATCTCTGACACACTAAAGCCCATTGCAGAAGTCACCATGTCAATCCATCTCATTGGGAATCTTCCTCTCTTTTGCTGACCAAGCATTATATCCCTTTCCAGGAATAGACTCGCCTAGCTACATGTTCAAAGTATGAAAGACAAAGCTTCCCTATCTTTGCTTCCAAGGTATGCAGTTATTGTTGTTGTTGTTAGGTGCCATTAAGTGGACTATGACTCATAGTGACCCTATGAACAAAAGATCTGAACCCTGTTCTATCCTGCACCATCCTCACATTTCCTGATACACAAGAGCCCATTGTGACAGTCACCGTGTCAATCCACCTGGTTGAGGGTCTTCCTTTCCTTTGCCAACCTTCTACCATTCCCAACATCATATCCTTCTCCAAAGAATAGCCCCTCCTAGCAACATGCCCAAATTATGTGAAGTGAAGCCTCATCCTTCTTGCCTCTAAAAAGGACTCCAGCTGCATCCTCTCCAAGATATATCTGTTTGTTCTCTTGGCCATCCATGGGGAGTTCAGTGCTCTTCTCCAACATCACAGCTCAAAGGAGTCAATTCTTTTTCCGTCATCCTTATTCACTGTCTGGCTCTCAGAGGTACAGGAAGTGATCAGAAAGATTATGGCCTGAATCAGATGCACCTTAGTGCTCAAACTGACATAATTACTCCTCAATAATTTGGAGACATCCTTAACTGCAGATTTCTCCAGTGATTTTGCTAATAATCAGCTATGGGATGGAAAGCTCTTGGTTAAGCAATCAGGACCTGGTGGGCGGGCCTTTGTATTTAAAAGTCAGTTGGGCACAATCTAATGGATTGAGAAATTATGGTACATTTACATGATGGAATACTACGCAGCGGGTAGGAACAATGATTTTGCAAATCACTGTCTAACTTGGGAGGGACTGGAGAACATTATGCTAAGTGAACTAACTCGGTCGCATAAGGACAAATACTGTATAAGACCATCACTGTAGAAATAGATAACTAGTAAAGCATGTACGAGGATCTAAAAGGGGGCACAGGGGTGAAGATAGGTGGGGGGGGAAATAATAGGGTTGCACAATTTGATGGGTGGAGTGAGAGGTGGGTTAAAGAATGGCCAAAAATCTGGTATGAAAAACAATGTATACAAACTTAGTAAGTAAACCAGTATCAAAGAAAAAGTTATATTAAAAAAAGTCAGTTGGAGCCTATAGCCTCAAACCTGCGGCCCTCAGACCTGTGTTAATTGTGTTGGGGAGAACATTGTTCTAAGCGGTATAGCACTTGTCTGTCAGTTAGCTGTACTGAGATAACTTAGGGTTGCTGTAAGACTGAAAGCTGTGCCACTGGTGTATCAAAGGGTTACCCATGGTGGACAGGGTTTGGTGGAGCTCCCAGATTAAGACTAGGAAGCAGGATCGGTCATCTACTTCTTAAATAACAGGCCTTTGAAAACCCTATGAACACTAAAGGCATGGAGAAGGCCTCTAAAAATCTGCTGAATCAACTTACTTATTCTTTTCCCTCCAACCTTTTTAGAAAGCTCATCAATTACCAATGTTTGGTGAAAATGTTCTGATCCCGTGTGTGTGTGTGTGTGTGTGTGTGTGTGTGTGTGTGTGTGTAAAGAAAGTACTTTTAACCAGTGTGTGAAATCGTAGAACACCTAAAACCTTAGCATCAAGGAGCTTACCAAGGACGTGACTGATTTGGAAAACTGTTGGTAGTTTATAAATCGCTCAGAACATTTGTGCTTTCCACAGATGAAAAGTGATAGAGTCACAGACAGAATGGAGAAGGCATGTCACTCAAGACTAAGTCAAGTGGTGTGGTTGTAGTTGCAGTCAGGTGCCACTGAGTCAACAACAGGGAGTGGAATGAAATGGGGACTTGGGGATTGGAGAGGAGCCACCCTAAAAAGAACAGACTAGGCCGCTATGTGTAGCAAACACAGAGAAGCGATATGTGATTGTCTTAATTGAAAACACACGAGAGATATTTTCGTGCCATCTTTTTTTTTTAATTTTTTTTGACAAAATGCAAAGGTGCAGAAATGTTTGAATCACAAAATCATAGTCATGGGCTATCGTTTCCCAAAACTACTTGTGAGAGGTTACGTGAACATTTCATTTGTGGGCCTGGGGAGTACTATAGTGATTATGGAGATAGTGACTGGGAACTTCTAAACTTGGGGTGGGGGACCTACATGGGCCCAAGGAGATCATCCGAGCGAAGATCCCAGTCTGTCAAAAAATATGCTGCGTAAGGTGACTGCTCAGGAAGGGCCACCTGCATGGCCACCTCGCTACTTGCAGCTGACGCCCCCTCCTCTCTGCCAAAGACAAAAGGTGGACAGTCGCAGGTGGGGGTTTGGCTAGATTCTGGCGAGTCAAACACCTGGGTGGATGCCCCTTTGGTCTGGCTTGTGGTCCTAGTGGCTCTGGCTGCTCTCACAGGCTTGGGTATAGGGAGCCAGGGAGACTTCTGGGGGGCTGCACATGACACGGAGATCACGTACTTGGGTGAAGTCTGGTAGTACACCTCAGTGCTATAGATGACCAAGTCCTGAGAGACGACCTTGGCCCTAATACCACACTCAGTGACCAGGTAGGTGAACTGGTACATGTAGGGCTCGACACGATTGGGGGGGCAGTAGTTGCCCAAATGCACCTCACTGAAGTGCACATATACATCACTGTTTAGCAGGAAGGGGTCAACAGTGACCTGGAACCAATCTCGGGAACAGGTCACAGTGACCTCATTTTGGCCAGCACCGAAGGGAATCACGGAGAGAAGCAGGACCAGCCCCCCAAGCATCTTGAAGGTGTTCATCTTGGCAGGTGAGGGGGTCACAGGAAATAGGAAGGAGACCTAGGGCACAAAGACACAAGAGGCAGAACATTCATTTGCCATCACAGTTCAAACAGGCTTGTTGTTCTGTAAGCAAGTGGCTGTTTATAAAGCACTAGGAAGACAGAAACATTCTTGCCTTGGGAGACAACTGCAATTTGATGTCATTGTTGGAAATCAGCCTTTTGGAATCACCATAATGCCTCTTAAAAGGAACTGGTGAAAGCGCACATAACAAAGCACTGACCATCGTGACCGTTTCGACGTGCATGATTGACTGCGTTCTTCAAGTTATCCCACCATCCTTTCTCCACGATGCTTTCCCCAATTGTTCTAGCATCACTAACGAAAACTCAATGTCCCCCTAAGGCAAAACTGCCCTTGTTCCCTTCCCCCCGCACCCCTGGGAACCACAAATTATCTTTGGTTTCTAGAAATCTGCTCAGTTCCTTTAAGTGAGAGCTTAACAGGGATTGTCGCCTTTGCGACCAACTTCACTTTTTCTGCATGGTGGTTTTTCAGTTCACCCACGTTGTGCCATCTACCAAGACTTCAGTGCTCTTGACGTCTGCGTGGTCTTGCATTGTGTGTGCAGGCCACACTTTGTTTACCCATTCATCTGTTGAGGGATACATCACTTCTTTTTTTTTTTTCAGTGGCTGAGTTTTTTTTTAAATTTTATTAGTTTTAATGAACATTTACAGAGATTTTGGGTTTTCATTCATTCATTGTTGCACTGTTTTCTCTACCCTCCTCCCCAGAGTTCGTTCTTCTTTCCCCCCCGCCAATGTCTGTTTTAATTGTCCAATTGCCACAGTGCTTGTCAAAGCCAGTTCTGATTAATCTCCTTTGTCAGTGTGTCCCTTGCCATTCCCTATCACTCCTCCCTGAGAGAGACTTTACCCTCATTCATAAGGAAAAGGGGATGGCATATTCTCTTAGCTACTTCCTGCTGAAAAGGGACGCTGTGGGTTTCAGGGTGAAGGCCTTCTCTCACTACTCTAAAGGGCCCCTTTGGCAGTAGGAAACACATAGACTATTATGGAGATTGATTTTGGAATTTAGATGCACTGTTATCAATTGTGCTTAGCCATACATGTTCATATCCTTGAAGATGTATCATGGAAGTGTTACAGCCTAGAAGATACAAATTTAACTAACAAGTTAAAAGTGCATGAGTCAAAAATTGAAAAGCAATAATATTCTGAGTAGAGGTTCTAATAGTGGCACAAATCAAGTTACAGAGGTAAGGTGGTTCCATTGCCATCCTTACTCTAACTTAATTCTTTTTTTAAAATTTAAATTTGTTATTAATTTCAGTGAAAATTTACAGAGGCTTTGGATTTCCATTCATTCATTGTTGTAGATTTGTCCCCTCCCAAGGCTCCCCCTCCACCAGACATTACCCTCTTGGAAAAGTAAAAGAAAAGATTCTTTCATTATTTTACAAACCCTCCCCCAGGTCCACTCCACCATGTAGCCATCGCTCTAGACTCCTGTCATGACAGAAATACCTAATCACATATCTCTTTTAAACAGTTTTCTCCCTTCTCTGTTTCAGAGCAGCATACATTATTGAACCCATCTTCCTCAGTCTCTCCCCAACCCCAAGGACAGTTCCATTCTACAACAGTGGCACCATGCAATATTTGTCCCTTTGTGACTGGGACATTTCACTCAGCATAATGTTCTCCAGAGTCAACCATTTTGAGTAATATTGCATGAGTTCCTTGTTTTTTAATGCAGCATAGGAGGGATACATCACTTCTATAACTCGTGGCACAGCCCACAGAAAGCGGTGCTGTTAACACAATGACAGACTTCTTCTAGTGATTCGAATCCACCAGCTGCTCTGGGGGAAGAAAGATGGGCAATCTCCTTTTTTTTTAAAATTTTTTTGGCCTTATTCTTTTTTAAATTTAGTTTGTTTATTTTTCATTTCAACCTCAGAAACCCACTCAAGTGTCATCTAGGAATCAGAACTGACCTGATGGCAATGAGAGTAAGACAGGGAGGGAGAAGGGGTGGGGGAGAGAGAGACTCCGTTACTGTAAAATATTTTGCTCTCACATGTTGAATGAGAGTGTATGGTAAACAGAAGTGGCATCTTTCCGTGTGTGACATCAATAGGAAAGAAGAAAATGGTGTGTCTGCCTGCTTATGAAAAACAGGAAATAAGGAGACACGTTTTATTCAGGTCATCCTGAAGAAATGCTCTGATACCTTTTACTTCCCAAGGAGTGGTAGGCAGAGTCACAGAGAGAAGGAAGAGCAGGGTTAAGAATGAAGAGTCCAGGAAGCAGTATCAGAAAGAACTAATAAAGAACTAACAAAGAAACAAGGAAGGAAGCATAGTAGTAGTATTAGTAGTAGCAGTCGTCATCGTTGTCATCGCCGTCATAAGGAGCAGGCCAACTGGGCTTCAGTCTTACAGGTGGAAATGATACAAATGAGATAGAAAAGTCTATGCCTTAGTGGATGCCTCCACTTTCCTTCCCTGCTGAGGTAAGTAACCTCTAACATTTATTGACTGCCTGAAGTGGCACAAGGCCCTAGTAGTGCAGCCATTGGAGTTCTCAGCTGCTTACCAAAAAGATGGCAGTTCCAAGCCACATCAGTTGCTCTGTGGGAGGAAGATGTGGCAGTTGGCTTCTACAAAGATTATGTTGTATGATGTTTTGTGCCATCGAGTGAGAACCGTCTCATAGCTAACTGCCCAGCAGGTTTTCAGAGGCTGTAAATCACACAGGCTGTTGTCCATCTTCCTTGGAGCAGGTGGTAGATCTGAACTGCCTGTCTCTGGGTTGACAGTATCACTCCTTACCTTCCAAGCTACCAGAACTCCCTAGGAAACTCTGTGGTATGATTCAAGTCTGTCTTATATGGTTGCTATGGATAGGAACTGGCTCGATGGTACTGTGTTTTGGTAAAATGGTGCAAATGGTTAAACACCCAGATATTAACCAGTAGTTGGAATCCGTCCGGGGTGTCCTGGAAGCAAGGCGTGGTGATCTGCTTCTGAAAGGTCACAGCCTTGGAAATGCTATGTACTCCACACACATGGGGTTGCCAGGAGTCGGAAGTGATGCAACAGCAACCCGTTTGGGGGTTTGGTACGATGTGTACAGCACTTTGATAAAAGCACCCCAGGACATTTCTTCTCTCTCCCTCGTCCTAACTTTAAGTGCAGCTCTTTCTAAACTGTTGATAGTGATAAATTTGCTGCATTCTTGAATGGAAACCAAGGTACAGGAGCCCACTGGGAAAGCAAACTGGCCTGAATGAAGGGCTTTGTGTCCAAGTCAAGAACTCAGCCTGACTGCTGCAGATGGTGTTTCGCTCTTTCTTCCTCTCTCATTTAATGGCGCCCCTTCTCTCAGAGGTATTGGGGTGTAAAGAGAAATTTAAGGGTCTGCCTGGCACTCCTTTACAAGCTCTTTGTTCTTTTGGCACTGTCTCCAATGGGACTGGGTTTTTGTTTTCCACAAAGCAAAGACACAAGCATTAGCAACCAACCAACCAACCAACTAACCAACCAACCAACCAACCAACCAACCAACCAACCAACCAACCAAACTATCCTCTGGTCTGCCCAGTCAAATGAGCAAACCAAACTCAAACAAATACCTGCCCCCCAAACAAGTAGACTCTGATGCCAGTGACTCAGGGTAATGACTCAACAGCCAAGTTAAAAAGCCAGCATGATGCAGGGTATTTGTTGAGGGTCCATCTGGAAGCAGAGACCATCACCTATCTTGACTGGGCTCATTTCAGTCTCTAGACAACCTTGTCTTCACCATCATTTTTTGCTCTTGTGAGCTGCTGTCCACCAGGCCTCTGAGCCATGGCAACCCCATGCAAGACAGAGCAAACCTGCCTGGTCTGGCGCCTGCCCCATGATCAGCTGCAGGTGGGACCACTGCAAACTACACACCAAGTGCTTAACTACTGTGCCACCAAGGTTCTTTCAACAGGCCAAGGAGCGGCTTCAATTCTATTCTCTATCTGTCTCCTTTTTCCTCGAACATGCCCTTAAGATGGAAATCTACCATTTCAGTATTTCCTAGATTCGGCCAAGGAAACAGCTATCCCCATTCCTTTTTTTTTTTTAATTGTTTAAGGCCCAAAACTGAGACTCAAGTTCAAGGGTGTGTCCAATGAAGCCAACCACCCATTTCTTTCTTCTCCACCAAGCAGCAAGCAGCTGTCTGTCTACCTCTATCTCTCACCCCACAAGGATGATCCAAGATAACAGGTCTCAGCTAGCCATGTTAGCCTGTGTGAACTTCCCGGGCTCCTCGGTGTGTAACATTGTTGAGTTTGGGAAAATTCATTTTGTCCCAATCTCCAAACTTGGAGAGGGTAGAATCTCCTGCCTTTCATTACCTTAAAGTCACATTTTTGCCACATGCAGCGAGCGACCAATGGCGATGTCTATGCATGTGACCTACCTCTGAGTGCAGGTAAAAGTGCAGATGCAATGTGGTGCATCTCTGAGGTGGGAGGGGGGACTGAAGGTTTTAGGAGGAGAGCAAAATGTGCCCTTGGAGCTTGCTAATGCCTGGCGAGTCCCTGGGTGATGTTAAATTTTTTTTTAATTTTTTTTTTAGTCTCCACTAGATCTATCCTAATCCCTTCACCCTCTCTTTCAACACTGGGCTGCTAACTAGAAGGTCAGAGGTCCAAGTCCACCCAGAGGCACCTCCAAGGAAAGGCCTGGGGATCTACTCCTAAGAAAGCAGCTACTGCAAACCCCATGTGGCCCAGGTCTACTCTGCTTCATGCACGTCCCACATGGCTGGGAGTGGACATCACAGCAAATGGTCACAGGTCTTTTTAAGACCTAACTCACGATAACACTTTAGGACTTGATCCCTTTTGCTAAGTACAGGTTATCGCTACTCTACTTCCTCTGCTGCCTACAATTCCCAGGCAAAGGTTGGGGGTGTGTGTGCTGCAAGTCATTCACAACAGAGTGTGAG